GGGGGGGTGTTAGACGAGGCAAAAGAGGGCCGGAGCTGCTTTACCGGGAGAAGGGGGTAAGGCCGGCGCCCTTCAGCTGGATCTCCCAGCGCTCGCCCTGCGGGTTCAGCACCTCGCCCAGATAGATGGCCGCGCCGTCGCCCAGCTGCCCGGCGAAGCTGCCGAACTGGTGGCCGCAGTAGCAGTGGGCGGCGGGTTCGGCGCCCGGCGGCAGGCGGTTCCCGCTGAAGTAGAGCGCGGCCTCGGCTTCTTCCTCCGGCGCCCGGGGCTCCCTCAGGCCCAGCAGCGCCAAAGCCGGCGCCGAAGCCGCGACGAGCTGCGGGTTGGCCACCGGCGTCGGCCGCACCCGCACCCGGGAGAAGCAAGCGCCCGCCACCGGCCGAGGCACGTTCTCCTCACTCGGGTCCACCGGCAGGGCCCGCAGCGCCCGGTTGTCGAACCGGAGCGCCCCGAGCCACCGAGGAGCCTCGTCAGGGGAGGACGGCGAGGAGGAGGCGGTAGCCATGCCTGTGAGGCGACGCCAGGCAGCGGCGCAGGCGGAGAGACGCGGCAACGGCAAGAAAGAGCGGCTCAGGCAGCAACGGCTCCCTCGCACAACCGCGGCCATTCGCCGCCCTCTCGGCCACCGTCCTCGGCCGGGGGGGTGGTGGGGGGGAGCAGGCGAGCAACCTGTCAGGCCGCGATTAGCTCCGCCCACAACCCGACTGCCGGGCCTATCCGCGTTCGTACACGGTCTCCCACCCTCCATCACACAGGGGCACCGGGCGTGATGTTAGGTAACCCCGTGTGCAACCGCCAATGGCAAGGCGAAATGTAGGAAAAGCCTTTTCACCAGAGGTAGGAAAAAGAAAGAGTGGCCTATCCATCCTTTTAATGATTTATCCTATGCTCACAGGGGAAGAAGTTGTCATTTCTGTTGCCAGGCGGAAGTATCTGTGGAAAACAATAGACAGATCCAATTTCGCCAGAGGTAATCTTCGTTAAGTCTGTCGCAGTGAAAATAGCGAAGAAAGTCTTGTTTAGTCATTAATTCGTGTCCGACTCTTCGTGACCCCATGGACCAGAACACGCCAGGCCCTCCTGTCTTCGAATGGCCTCCTGGAATTTGGTCAGATTCATGTTGGTCACTTTGATGACACTGTCCATCCATCTCATCCTCTGTCGTCCCCTTCTCCACTTGCCCTCACACTTTCCCAACATCATGGTCTTTTCTCATGAGATGGCCACAGTACTGGAGCCTCAGCTTCAGGATCTGTCCTTCCAGTGAGCACTCACGGTTGATTTCCTTCAAAATGTATAGGTTAGTTCTCCTTGCAGTCCTCCCAAGAAGCAGTCGTCCTTTATCATGTCCATCTTTGCACAAAATGTTCCTTTAATATCTACAATTTTCCTGAACAAATCTCTGGTTTTTCCTTTTCTATTATTTTCCTCTATTTCTTTGCATTCTTCCTTTAAGAAGGCCCTCTTCTCTCTCCTTGCTATTCTTTGGAAGTCAGCATTCAATTTTCTGTAACTTTCCCTATCTCCCCTGCATTTTGTTTCCTTTCTCTTCTCTGCTATTTGTAAGGCCTCCTTGGACAGCCACTTTGCTTTCTTGCATTTCCTTTTCTTTGGGATGATTTTTGTTGCTGCCTCCCGTATGTTACGAGCCTGTATCCAAAGTTCTTCAGGCACTCTGTCCACCAAATCTAGTTCCTTAAATCTCTTCTTCACTTGCACTGTGTACTCATAAGGGATTTGGTTTAGATTATACCTGACTAGCCCAGTGGTTTTTCCTACTCTCTTCAGTTTAACCTTGAATTTTGCTATGAGAAGCTGGTGATCAGAGCCACAATCAGCTCCAAGTCTTGTTTTTGCTGACTGTATAGAGCTTCTCCATCTTTGGCTGCAGAGAATATAGTCAATCTGATTTCGATGTTGCCCATCTGGTGATGTCCATGAGTAGAGTCGCCTCTTGTTTTGTTGGAAAAGAGTGTTTTTGATGACCAGCTTGTTCTCTTGACAAAACTCTATTAGCCTTTGCCCTGCTTTGTTTTGAACTCCAAGGCCAAACTAACCTGTTGTTCCTTTTATCTCTTGGCTCCCTACTTTAACATTCCAATCCCCCATAATGAGAAGAACATCTTTGGTGTCAGTTCTAGAAGATGTTGTAAGTCTTCATAAAATTGGTCAATTTCTGTCTCCTTAGGATTGGTGGTTGGCGCATAAACTTGGATTACTGTGATGTTGAAAGGTCTGCATTGGATTCGGATTGAAATCATTCTACCAGTTTTGAGATTATATCCTATTACACCTTACCCACACTTTTGTTGACTATGAGGGCTACTCCATTCCTTCTACGGGATTCTTGCCCGCAATATTAGATATGATAATCATCTGAATTGAATTTGCACATTCCTGTCCATTTTAGTTCACTGACGCCCAGGATGTCAATGAAGTATTTTTCTTTGCAGGATCGGACTTTCCTTTCCCTTCCAGGCACATCCACAGCTGATCGTCCTTTTGGCTTTGGCCTAAGCACTTCATTAGCTCTGGAGCTTCTTGTCCTTGTCCTCTGCTCTTCCTCAGTAACATGTTGGATGCCTTGCGACCTGAGGGGCCCATCTTCCAGCGTGATATCTTTTAGCCTTTTGTTTATGTTCATAGGGTATTCTTGGCAAAGATACTGGAGTGGCTTGCCAATTCCTACTCCAGGTGGATTGTGTTTAGTCTTCACTATGACTGTCTTGAGTGTCAAGCCCCTTCGCCACGACAGGGTAGCAATCCAAGGAAGTCTAATGAATTTTATTTGATCGTAGTCCACTGTTTTTGACCAAATAAAGCTGCTTTAGAAGCGGATTACATTCACCAGGAACTCGCTTGCTCATTTATTTACTACATTTGTATACCGCCACATTAGTGCATAGCACCATGCAAGGCGGTTAACAAAATAATAATAAAATACAGTGGTGCCTCGCATAACGAGCGCACCGTTTAACGATGAATTCGCATAGCGATCCATTTTTTGGGATCGCTAATGCAATCGCATACCGATGCTTTCTATGGCCGAAAATCGCTTTGCGACGATCGGTAAGCGTTTTTAAACAGCTGATCGGCGGTTCCAAAATGGCCGCCGGACGCCCAAAATGGCCGCGCACAGCGCTTTCGCGCCCTGCGCTCGCTTACCGAGGGCACGAAAATGGCAGCCAGATGGAGAAACATCGCAGAACAGTGAGTTTTGGGCCCCATTGGAATGCATTAGACGAATGGGTTTTTCCGTTCCGTATAGCGATGTTTCCCCATAGCGACGGTTAATCCGGAACGGATTAACCTCGCTATGCGGGGCACCACTGTATCTAAAATCTAATTAATATTAAAATCAACTCTTAAATCAAACAGGAGGCAGCAACAAAAACCATCCCAAAGAAAAGGAAATGCAAGAAAGAGAAGAGGCATCTTCTCTATGTGTGGGACCTGGCATCAGGTCAGGCTGGCTTGCCTAGAAAGGCTTCTCCATATAGCAAAGTCTTCAGAAGCCTTTTGAATGTTCAGCAGGAGGTAGCAAACCACAGCTCCACCGGCAGCTGGTGCCATAGTTTAGATGCCACTGCGGAGAAGGCCCGGCCTCTTGCATCTGATTTCCTGGCCTCCCTTGGAGTGGCTATTCGGAGGAGCAAGGCCTGGGAGGATCTGGTGGGATGGGTAGTTAAGCTAAGGTTATGATAAATAAAACATCTCAAGGGTGCTGCTAGCCTCTTCCTGGTCCAGGATTTTGGAGTACAGCACCAAAAGGGATTTCTTGGCTTTCTAACGCGCCTCTCACTTTGTGGTAAAGATTTGTTATTACTTTCAAAATGATTTTTAAAAATTGCCTGTCATTCTGTTTCCCCAAAGCAGCATTTTCAAATTAGAGTGGAGAAATCCTGCTTTGCCATAGTGTTGCAAAAATTAACAGTTCAAACACCTTGGTAGACCAATTTCAATTATCTACAAGGTGGGTGAAGAGAACACCCACTACGAAAGGACTTAACTTATTCTGCAGAATAAAGCATTACACATGGGTTAATACCCGAACAAGGTGTCTTGGAATTTACAGATGTGTGCTAGCATTATATACCGTACTAGTTGCGTATCACTGACCTTGTCTGCATGCCTCATCTGGCTAGTATAAGTGACCTAGCTGATGTCTGCCCTCAATCATCATCGTCATCATCCTCAAACTGCAGAGCTGGAAGGGACCTTATGGATCATAAATCCTGGCCTCTGGAAAGGAGGCACTGTGGGGTATCAAACTCCCAACCTCTGATTCCGCAGCCAGATATCTAAACCAGTGAGCTATTTAGGCTTCTCTCTTTGCTGTTTTATCTATAACTTTCTGTGCCACCTGTTCTTTTCACAACACATTCCTTTCCTTAAGTTAGTTAAAGGCCAGGGCTTGATACTTACTGTTTCTTGTATCTAACATGGCAAGCTAATACAAAATGGTACTACTTCTAAGCATGATTGAAAATAAATTTAACAATAGTGACAGATAAATCCTTGACTTCCCCACAGATTTCTACCATCAGCACTCATGTTTTTTCAGAGTTGAAAACAAACCTAAGTGCATTCATTTCTATTTGTTGGTCTACTTCATACTTTTGCCCTACGCTAGAGATAAATCATGTCATTTTTCTATCTGTTCTGTATGTTTGATTCGGGAAAGTGTTGTCAGTCTTAAGGACCAGAATCAGAAGTCCTTAACTCCCTGAATTCTGGGAATGCCAAGCATGAACAGGAGAGAAGAGAAAACAGGTGCTTGCTAAGACAAATGTGACTCAAATACTGATTGAATACACAGCACTTTTTGCTTAGAGGTGTAGTGTTATATGGATGTTGAAATCAGATTAAGATCAAATAAGTCTTAAGTATGTGGAGGATCAACTTCTTGTGGTTGTTGCACATAAATTATCCAGTATTTCTCAGTGGTATCAGTTTGCACCACAAAAATCTGCAAGTCATCCAGGGTTGAGAAATAGTTATGAGCCAGTCCCACTCGACAGGTACAAAAAAGAAGGGGTATATATGTCATTTGAGGAAACTTTACCATGCTAATAACAGGATTCAGTCTGAAGAAGACCCTTGTCAGGATTTGCTCAGCCTCAAAAATAGGGGACGTGGTGGCGCTGTGGGCTAAACCGCAGAAGCCTGTGCTGCAGGGTCAGAAGACCAGCAGTCGTAAGATTGAATCCACACGACAGCATGAGCTCTCATCGCTTTGTTCCAGCTCCTCGCCAACCTAGCAGTTCGAAAGCATGCAAATGCAAGTAGATAAATAGGTACCACCTTGGTGGGAAGGTAAAATGATGTTCCCTAGTCACACTGGCTTGAAAACGGGATGAGCACTGCCCCCTAGAGTCGGACACGACTGGACTAAAAATGTCAAGGGGAACCTTTACCTTTTAAAAAATATAGAAAGTTTATAAACTGTAAAGGAAAAATAATGGTTTTTAAAAAAACATTTTGTTCAAAAGCTACATCTCAGAATGAGGGATATGGAAAATGTTTTGTAGCATAGTTCAAGGTATCGGCAGAACTAATGCTCATGCCATAACACTTGTATACACTATTGTAAATACTGCCTACCACCGCTCAAAAAAGGTGACTGAAACAATTCGTTTGTGAACTTTATTTTATACAGGCAGGAAAGACCTATAATGACTAGGCTTTACTCATGCTTTACTTTGATCTTGCAAATTCAATGATGCTTCAAATTAAGCATTCAATACATATGCTGCCCCATTTGATCCCCATTAAGTAGCATGGGGGGAAAGTAGCATCCTGAGAGTTGTGGGCTATTGCCTGACTCCTCCCATGATAATTTCAGTGTTCACTATTAAATATGCTATGTCCAAAGAAATGTTTCTCTGGCCAGTCAAGCGTATTCCACCTAAACACCCAGAGCCAGAATGCAAAAAGTAGATTACGGACAAAACAAGACAAAGATGGACAATTGTCAGGCAGAAATTCCATTCTGTTCCTCAAGAGAGATTTCGGTGTCCCTCAGAATGACACCAGTCTATAAGTGCTTGTCACTCCTGTTTCACTAAAATATAGTTTGCCAATAAATGAACATGGGACTTTTCCATCCCAATATGCTACACTAGATGGATTTTTTAAAAAAAGTTCCAATGGCAAAAATCTACATATTTATTGGAACATTTTTGTCCCAACTATTTTTTGTTTGTTTATTTGTTTGCAGGAAGAAGACAAGAGTTGAGCAAGTGGCTTAAATCTGGAGACATTGTTTATGACTGTGCACATGACAATGACACTGTGTGCTTACATTGTAGGTCAGATTCTGTGTGGATTCTGCAGCCAAACATGACTCTGGGGGATGAAAACATCTCATCCAGCTATGTGAAGCTTGATTTACCTTAGTATACCTTCATGTGCCTTGAGACACAGCATAACACATCATACACACTTTGGAACAAATTACACACACGTAAAGTTGAAATCCCTGCGCACAGGTAGCCATTTTATTATTTTCTTTCTTATTTTTGGCATGTGGAAATACATAGAGCACAAGTGTGCCTCATATCCCTCATTTAACATTAGTCCACTTAAAACTTAAGGCTCACATATTTGTCACTTATTTTTAGTCTTCAGTAGAATTTACCCAAGCATGAAAACTTTGAAGTAAACATAGTACACAACCAACAAAAGGGGGGGGGGGGGGAGAAGGGCAATACAATAACAAAATAGATTCAGCAGGTTTGTGATATATTTTGTTAAGATGTATGTTTGATAGGCCCTCTGTCCTGTCATCCAAGTTATTTTCAAAGGACATACTAGGTTTAAAGGAGTTTTACTGTTAAGAAATTTTAAAAAAACTCTTGGAAGTGTAATAAAAAGAGAATCTGACAAATTAATTTAATTAACAGATAATTTCTTCTGTAATTTTTTCAATTTGAAAAAGCTGTTTACACGTTGTACTTTCAGCCTCAGCATCCTTTTTCTTCCAGTCTTCAGCTGAAAACTATGAGATGAAGACGAGAAATGTCATCCTCTACACCTTGCATAATTGAGTTGATCTGTATCTGTGTAAACTGAGCTGTGCATCCTTTGCCATCATTTCACAAATAAATTTAAAAACCATCAATCTTGTTCAGTCAAGGGAGTAAACTGGTTTGCCATGGAAAGTATGTGTATATCTCATAAATGACATACAGCACTAACAACTTCTATCTCAAACCACTAATTCCGGACAGATTAGTAAAGGTCACATATAATTCCAGGGCAAACAATCTCAAAAATATCAACTAACAAGATCAGTTGTTGTTTTTTTGCAGATATAATTTCAGTAAAGTCTCATTGATGGGATCACGGTCCACTGGGTCCTCATTGTTGTTCTTCCACTAGTTCTCAATAGATAGAATCCATCATAAACTCTCATTCAGGCAGAGCTCCCTTAAGCACTGCTACTGCCTGATCATCAGTGATGTCATGTTTATGCTTTCTTTAGAAAAGCAAGAACCTCAAACAGGAACAATCATACATAGTAAACTGTTTGTGTACTCCTGATTTTTCCAGTGGGGTCTAAAATTACTTACCTCTTGGATTCTGCTCACTGAATTTTAAATAAACTAACATATATAAGGCCATTTGAGAAGACAGGCTATATTGGTTTAAATTTCTTGCAGAAAACATGCCCCCCCCCATTTGCTCTGCTGCATGTGCAAGGCTGTAGACTGTACTGATATCATTATTCAGTTTCTAAGGGTTCAGACTCCACATTCCCAAAGGAAGAGGAGGGTGAGAAACAGTTTTCTGTGCGGTTGACAGACAAATGCATGAGAGCCACAGTAGCAGGCAATATGTTTTCAGTCATTACTTTTATGAATCAACATTTGGTAGGGGTGGCACTCAAAAGCAATCTTAACGGCATACAAATTCTACAAAACAGGTAAGATCTTTTTTTAAACGTAGATGCTAAAAAAGCTGGAATATTTGGAGAAGTATCCATAAACACAAAAAACTCCAGACAGTTTAAGAATACTGGTTGATCTCTGTGAAAGTAACATTCCTCTTACTTTTGTAATCAGTATTTCATTACATTCAAGTTGAATCAAGATAAAGAGCTTACATGGCATCCAAGAAATGAAAGGGAAATACTACATTCAGATCAGTTTTAGATTTATTTCCCCCAAAAGGAGAGTCAAAACTCTATAGCAGCCTCCCCCAAACTGTCATCCTTCAAATGTGGCAGTTACCACTCCCATCATCCTCAGCCAGCATGGTGATTATAAGCCAACATTTCTTGAGGGCACCTGGCTAGGGGGAAGGGTGGTCTCTTGACAGTTGTGCAGTACTGAAATCCTGCCAAGGAGCATTAGTTTACTAACAGGAATCAAATGGATCCAATCCAAGAGGACTAATGTGCCCTGTAAACTTAAGAATTACCCAGCTACTGGAAAGAAAAAGGAAGAAAAGAAGCACAGAGACAGGACTGCAGCCGAAACTTTCAGTCAAGATAAATAAATCAAATACATAGAGGAGTCCTAAAAATTAAAGGAAGCAGCTAAGGTTAAGCACTCTTGAATGGAAGGTTTCAGTTCTCCATCAAAATAGACAATTGAAAAGTGCTTAACTTTGCTGGATTCTATCCCCTGGGCACAGTGCTAAAGGCAACTTCTTTTAAAAAGTTAATAAGGCTTGTAAGAGACAGAGGTTTATCAACAACAGCCAGCAGATTTCTGATATTTCAAAAGCTTCTGCAGTTATTCTGTCTTTTTTTTTCAATTACAAAAAAGCCACTATGTATAAAAATCTTCCAGTAAGAAGAGGTCCTTCTATGTTATCGTGTGGGTGCTTGGCATCAGAAAGGATGACTTGGCGTTACTTATACCAAAAACACATTTGGCTTTATGAGCCACTGTGCTTTCTAACAGGAACACTGCCAGCGTATTGTTTCTCTGGACACGATTCACCAGCCAGTTCTCTTGTGCAAGCTTCAGTGAAATGAAGAGTAAAGTCTCACTGATGGGATCCCATTCAGTTCAATGGTGCTTGCAAAACAGAAGTCTCTAGTGGACTGTATCCAAGAATGCTAAACTCAAGTGTTGCCTGCATACTATATCATCATGTTTATAAATATGATATATACATGTAATTGCAACCATATATGTGTGCACATACTTTAGGTACCTTATACTGGCATAAACCTTTATGCCATACATTTATTCAGTTTGGTGGATGAATGCTTATTCAGTTAGGTCACAGCTGGTGGTGTGTTTCATGTCAATCCATTGGTTATGCTGTAACTCAGCATCAGATGATACACTGGGACAGAAAATCGGTGATTTGAACCCCTAGCCCGGGTTGACACTCGTTGCTGCAACAGTTGCAGAGTTTCCAATTCAATGCTGAGGCTTTACATCTGCCAGTTTTTGAAGATAGTTCTGTGCAACAGGCATGGATAGAATAAACTGAACCGTCCTTTGTCCCATCCGAAAACAGCCATAACTCACTAGTCCAAATACAGTAGCCTTTATAACAAACTTGAGGATTTTGCTGGCAGTTGATGGAGGAGGCACACTGAAACAGAGACCAGGGCGGAAGAAAAAAAAAGCTTAACGTGCAGCGATAGCAGAAAAAAGATGGCTAATCATTATTTGCACTAAACACTGTATTTTCTACTGTTAACTTCACAGTTCAGGGGTGTTCAGTACACCATGCAACAATGGTATGCTTTAAATATCAGCATATACTTTAATCGTTTGACAATCTAGTATTTAAGGGGCCTACAAAAATATCTTATGATCATTTTGGCCTATGCTGGCACATCTGCTGGAGAAGAGCATATCATGTCTTGCATTTTAGGTATATTATATTTTATTGTAAGATGTAGGTGAAACACTATTACAGTACAATGTTGCTGTTACTTGATAGTGCTGGTAATGCTCAGAAATAAATCCACTGAGTTTAAAGTTACTTACAGCCCTGATTACTGTATACAAAGTTACCCTGTATAGATTAGGACATGAAATAACATTTACTCTTCAAACACTACACAGGTTTTTTTATTGCATACATGACGGGAGATAAATTATACATCTTGACTCATGTCCTGTTCAAAATATTATGCTAATTGGCGAGTCACGTACTGGAGCATCCAAACAGGCACATATCCTGAATGTCACCTATCACCCACATCTGCTTCCACAGTTGACATTCTGGATACAGTAATCTGAATAGGATACTGGTCCATTTGATTTCTACTACAGTGACTTCAACTTTTGAAATCCTTGTCAGAAAATTTTCTGATTTAAGCAAGAGTCCAGAAGGTATGATTCTATTTTAATTTATAGTATAAATCACACAAACCATTTAATTTAAATTTCAAAAATGTTTCTGAATTTTTTTTCTTTATACAGTAGGACCCCCATATCCACTGGGGAATGGTTCTAAGCCCCCCCCTCTTGTGGATATTTTTTATGACAGCAGAGATCCTTTTTTAAGATGTTTATTCTAAATGGAGCTTGCCTCAGTACATATTTACAAGTTAGCTTGCTTTTGTTTTTTGCTCAGTTGGGTGATTAAATGGATTTTGTTGCCTTGACTGGAAGGATGTTTAATGCTTTAAGAGGAGGAAATATGTCTTTGCCTTAGTATGTGATCTGCCCCTAAGATGCTCATGGACATCACAGATTCAAACCTTGGATTATCCTATGTTGAAAATTTATTGCAAACCAAGCTCTTAGAAATACAGTTCCTCTTTGTCACATTCAGTAGGATCCCCGTATCCACAGGATCAGTATCCACAGTTCCACTTATCTACAGTCTGAAAATATTAAAAATATTAAAAGAATACTTGCTAGTGAAGAGTACACAGGATAGTCGCTTGTGCCCTCTAGTGGCCCGTTCTGGTAATGCACGTGAAAATATTTTCCTGTTTTTTTTTTCTTTTACCATAGCATTCACTATTATGCACCGAGGCAGGGTCCATTTAGAATAAACATCTAAAACAGGGATCTCTACTGTCATAAAAATAAATAAACTAAAAATAAAACATATTTTGGTTGCAAAAAACTTAAAAGTCTGCACTTGAGTAGCTTGTAACTGTGTGAAGTCTAGGTAAATGGGTATCAATGTGGTATTGTATGGCCTTCTCACACATATTTACATGAAAGCAGGTGGGCTAGAATTACATGCATGTGCTGCATGTGCACACAGAACTGTACACTTACAGTTCTTTTAACATCACAATTACAGGTACACAGATAAGTGAAACCACAGATATTGGGGTCTTATTGTGCCATTTATCTTCATATATGTGAATGTTGAATTTATAAGGCATTTTTTTCACAGTTTTATTACATTAACTTGTGGCTCAGTTTGCATTATTTATTATGTTGAAATAAAATTATACATGGAATGAATTTTTAAATCTTTTCATTCAAATAATTTTCTTAAAAGATGTAATTTCCCCCATTTCATTGTTTTCCCTTTTGCACCATTTATTTATATACTGGTTGAAATCCTGTTGCTTAACACTGGAGTAGCCCCACTGAATCATCGGGGATTCGGCAAGACACATACTCTATATCAGTGGTTCTTAACCTTGGGTTACTCAGGTGTTTCTGAACTGCAACTCCCAGAAACCCCAGCCAGCACAGCTGGTGGTGAAGGCTTCTGGGAGTTGCAGTCCAAAAACACCTGAATAACCCAAGGTTAAGAACCACTGCTCTATATGTTCCATTGACTCAAATGTGACTACTTCAATTGCAACTTACTATGCTAAAATAAGTCATGGCCAGAGTAGGCCCATTTGAATCAATGGAACTCATAAAGGAGTTGACTCACCAAATCACCACTGACTCAGTAGGGTTACCGTAGCACAACGTGCTATGCCAAACAACGGGATTTCAGCCACTGTATCAGATTTCAATGCCTCACATTTGGGAAATTGCCATTTTATCTCCCAGGCCTTGTTATAGCACAGGGAAGCAAAAAACACAAGGCGAACATGTCCATGTAGGTAATCCTTGTTTGCGGTCACTTGTTTGCAGATGGAAAACTCTTTAATAGCCTCCCTTCTAGCCTGCCTAATTTCTTGTCTAGCCAAATCAATTTCTGTGGCACCTCAATGACAGACGTTCCTATTTCATTTCTCTTGTAAATCACCATCTGCCCCTCACCTATGAACTGGCCTTTTTATACCTGCCCCTGACTAAGTGAAGAAACTGAAGTTTATGAAAAATGACTAAACCTACCAGAAAGAGAATTACCTCATTATTTCTTGGATATTCAAGTCAGTGTTCCAGTTCTTTTCAATCCCAGGCACATGACCCATTCCAACCACCCCAACGACAACAGAGGGGACACATCTTCTAGGTTCAGCTAAAATAGGGAAGAAAAAACATATATACAATACCGCACAGGGCTTGTTCTTTACTTAGCTCTATTTTTAGACCATCCTGTCAACCAGAACTATCAGAGAAACTCACAAAGTGGAACCTGATAAAAAGAAAATATTTAATGCTGAGTAACCATTTTATAGGACTGTACTGTAATACAGTACAGTCCTATAAAATGGTGGCGCTGTGGGCTAAACCGCAGAAGCCTGTGCTGCAGGGTCAGAAGATCCGGCAGTCATAAGATCGAATCCACGCAACGGAATGAGCACCTGTCGCTTGTTCCAGCTCCCGCCAACCTAGCGGTTCGAAAGCATGCAAATGCGAGTAGATCAATAGGGACCACCTCGGTGGGAAGGTAAACAGCGTTCCGTGTCTAAATCACACTGGCCATGTGACCACGGAAAGATTGTCTTCGGACAAACACTGGCTCTATGACTTGAAAAGTGGGATGAGCGCCGCCCCCTAGAGTCGGACACAACTGGACAAAAATTGTCAAGGGGAACCTTTACCTTTACCTTTTACTGTAATATGATCCAAGGCCTGTGGTTGAAAAGAAAACAGTGAGGAGGGCCACCAAAACTGAAACTGGACATTTCAGTGTAATAGTGCCAAAATACCTGTTTTCACCATCATGTGGACTGGTAGTTTTATATTGCTGTTGTTTTGACTTACAGTATATACTGCTCCATAATACTATAGCACTCTTGGGACGGTTTACAATGTAATTATGAAAGAAACACTTTGCCCTCCAGCAAGCTGGATACACATTTTACCGATCTCAGAAAGGTGGAAATCAACCTCAAGCTGGCTACCTGAACCCATGGGGACTGGATTCAAGTCTTGAGCAGGGGCATGATTGCAGTACTGCAGTTTAACCATTGGGCCACGGGGCTCTATGAAGCTTCCCAACACCCTGATAGTAACAGAAGCCTATAGCAGATGACAGTATTTGCATCTGCTGAAGAGATTACTGCTCCTTACTTGGATTTTCTAATTGTTAAGCTATGTTGGGCTCCCGCTGATTCAGTTCCAATCTTAATCTGAAGTTGCTTATAGACTCTCTCCTGGACTGATTAGATTTCCCAAGAGAAAGTCGCCCCACCACAAAGCCGTTCAATTTGTGGTACAACCCACCTTCAGAAGCACGAGGTAGTTCTGTTCCCTTTGCTGCTTGCTTCAGCATGTAGGTTAAGTAGATGTCTCTTTCAGAAACAATCGTTCGATGGAGATCAGGGAATTCTCCAATCATCTCTGCCATCATTTGCTCCAGTAAATCTTTTTGCTTACACTTCTCTACATCATCTTTACTGCAAGAAAGAGTGGGAAAAATCTGCACTTTGTTTTCAGACAAAAGCAAATCTAAAAACATAGCATGGGCCTAACTATATGGGATGCTAATGATGTGAGGAGCAACCATTTCCTACTTAAGGGCCAGGCATAGGGGAAGAGAGTTAGCTGGTGCCACAGCAGCATGTAGGGTAGAGAGAGAGAAGGGGAGGCTTCAGCCTAATGTAATCTCTGCACCTATCCTCTGGCAACCGGCATTATGAAAAATGGCTAGCTGGTACTGACAAGAGTTTTCTTCCCTAGTATTAATTGCTAGATTGAAATGGGGCACCCCCTGTATTATAAGCATATTCGAAAAATTAAAATACATGTTTTGAGACATTTGAACTCATCCACAGTAAGTTTGCAGTTTAAACTGATGTGCAATACAACCAGCCTATCAGTTACAGGAGAGAAAATGTTCCTTTACCATGGCAATGAACAAAATCTGAATTTGTTGAATGGTATCTTAGAGAAAAAGGTCTCATAAGATAGGTCACAAAAGATACAACAGGAATAAGAAGAGTTAACACACAGTTAAAGAATTGTATTAAAAGTGCTTTGTGTATCTTAGGAGTTCAGTGATACAGCACTGAACCACTCTTCCATGGACATTATTAAAAAAAAACCCCTGTGTCTGCTTGCAGAACAGCATCTGTAATTAAACCAGGCAGATGCTTCTCCTGTCAAGTTCAAAGGAAAGCAAAACAAACAGCTGTTACCCTGCTATGTGCAAGCAGTGAGTGGGAGGTGTGAAGGAGTGCAGTGGTCCGCAACCTTGGGCCTCCAGATGTTCTTGGACTACAACTCCCAGAAGCCTTCACCACCACCTCTGCTGGCCAGGATTACTGGAAGTTGAAGTCCAAGAACATCTGGAGGCCCAAGGTTGGGGACCACTGAGTTAAAGCATATAAAATTCATTCCAATTGTAACATGCTATTTCTTTGGAGAGACATCTCGTCTTGCCTTTTGCTGTTATAACTGTGTTACCTTTGTTGCAATTCAAGTCTTGGTGCTGCCAAAATACTAAGCCACAGTAAAAGACACATGCCTCCTTGGCAAATCAATTATGCCTCATTGTTTTCATGTTCTAGCACACAATGTTTTGATGTAACTCATTACCTTATGGATATTGCCACAGTGTTCCTGGTTCGCTTATCATGCTACTAATCAAGGAGTAAGACTATACTATTGTAAAACTCACCAAGACCAAAAGTGGCAGCCAGAAATGAAACCAACTCCTGAAGCCTCAAGAGCTAATTCATACACACAGGTCTGCCAGCTATATGTGTTTAACTTCTAGATACAGAACTCCCTAACAGCCAGTGACACAGCTAAGAAAATTAATTTAAAGCCCATTGATTTTAACTGGTCTACTCTAAGGATGCTCACCTCTGGGTCCAATTCCAACTCTGCATGGCAGGCTAAAATTCAAATTGCCTGTCTAGAATTGCTTTATCCTTTAAATCATGTGGCTCTCCACATAATTTGGGCTTACATTTTTCATCAGCCCTAGCCAGCTTAGTTAACTGGGGAAGGATTGTGGGGGATGCACGCCAAAACATAGGGATGGTTACAAAGGCTCACCCTGCTTTAGACACTTTTAATGCCGGCATAAGATCCACTTAATTTACCACAGCTAATTATGGCTAAGGGACCTGGTGCACCTCAAATGTATGTCCATGCAGAGTTATGCAATTATGATGCACACTGGGATCTTGCCAACTAGCTGTGGCAAGACCAATACGATTCCAGCCACTAATCCAAAAGCCTGTTTCTGAAGTGAAGAGTGTTCAAATATATGCCACTCTTTGCATGTACAAAATTCAATGTTTTCCTACATCTGTGTACAAAATGTTGCATTATTTAATATTAGGAATGAAATGAACAAACTGCCGGTTCACTGACATAGATGTTGCCTGTGCTTTTGTTATTCACGTACTGATTGTGACAAACCCAGACCTACTGGGATGCCTGTGCTTTTGTTATTCACGTACTGATGCAGCCCTAAGGCCATCGCTGGTATGAAAAATATATGCCCCTCTGCTCAGTAAACATGTCCCAAGGCTTGGGGATTCTTCTGGTTTGAGCACCCAGTACCTCATGCCATCTTGTCACTGCGGTCCACGAGTTGTCTGTTACACATGTTCCTACCTGATTCAGAGAGGAAGCAGAGGCCCCAGGCAAGCTTGACTTTTTGCCAGAAGGAAAGTGCAGCAATGGCTCTCTTGAAGGTGACTGGGATTGGTCTGTCCCCAAGATGAAACTTGCAGAAAGGTACTCGACTAGCCTGTAGGAGAACGCAGAGGCTAGCACATCATTAACACTACATAGAGAAGACAGTTAAGACATTACAGGTTGTGATGCATAAATATTATTTTTCATTTTCAGCTGCAATATCACGAAGGGCACATTTCCCACACAAAGTTTATTTCAAGGGTCCAAAACAATACTGGCAACAAAAGGGCATTGCCGTTGCCAACCAAGAAGAGCACCAGCCATCTAGACAAGCAGAAGAAAATACGTCACACTCTTCTTCTTCACAAATCCTTTTCTACCCAAGAGGAACCTGATTCTCATTTTATGAAGTCAGAAGTGAATGTTCTAAAAATGTTTGTATCTTTGATATTTGCTATCTCTAGGAGTTTACTTTTTTGACTGCTTTGTTCATATAGTTCACAAAATCTATGTTTACCTATCTTACAAATGAGCAGGCAGGGAGACAAAGAGCAGCAATTTCATCAGACACAATTCTGTGTGTGTATGTGTGTGTTTTCAAAGGGCCCGTGTGTGTGTCCGTGTCCGTGTGTGTGTTCAAAGGTCCCTAAATTAGTTTTCATGCCCTTCACATTTTAGGGTTTTGAAAGCTTTGGAATCAACTGTTGGAAAAACTGTACCCATAAGAGCAGTGGTCCCCAACCTTGGGCCTCCAGATGTTCTTGGACTAAAGCTCCCAGAAGCTTTCACTATCACCCCTGCTGGCCAGGATTTCTGGGACATGAAGTCCAAGAACATCTGGAGACCCAAGGTTGGGGACCACTGCATAAGAGTATATCCATAAGCAGTTTCCTCCATTGGCCCCAATGGCCATTTTGTACATCCTGGTAAGCAGAGAAAAACTGTGTGTGTGATTACTGTTGTACATTATTTTCTGAACAAGATTTTGGTGTGTTTGTGTTTCAATACAGGAGAAAGGTCTTCAAGATAGTTGTGTGTTACCAGGAAAGTATGCTTTGCTGTGCCATTTTGAAATTGCCCGCATCCATTTTATTCAGTAAAGCAATCTAATAAGGACTGCTAAAAAAGGGCAGGATGGCCTGTAAGTGCACATTAGCTGTTTTTCTTTTACAATAATAAGCATCTTCTGCATTTACTCCGCAGGCATGAGCTTCCTGACATATATAAATACCCTACCCCTTATTCATTTTCTGATCTATTTCATTTACACTCAACCTCTATCACCCAGGAAAGCCTGCAAAAGCAGGAGACACTATGCAGGCAGCACCATGAAACGTCCTGCTAGGATACTACCAATGCAACAGTGCCTATCATTAGGAACACACCTCCAGGATGCTGTGACAAAGAAACAATCCACCGCGAAGACATTCCAAGGAGAAAGTCGTCACCTGCTACCAACCACCCTTTTTTTTGTTGCACCCATCAATTGGGGAGGACGTGTAGTGTGTCAAAGAGATGCTGTGCATGAAAAAAGCCTCATGTTTACTTTCTAGCATCTCCAGGTAGGTGTGGAAAAACGTCTGCCAGAAACAGCAGAACACATGTTGGACCACACTGACATAAATAAACCAACTCTTTGACTTCAAATAGCACACAACTGCTATTTTGTTATGGTCCTCTCAGGTAAAGAGTGGTCAAATAGACCAGATGGGTGGGATATAAATCAAATAAATAAATAAATAAAGTTTTTATTTTCTGGAACTGTTCTGGCCTGTCCTTATTGCTCTCTGAATGCCTCATGAGGGCAACTCCTCTACTTAGAGAGCAGTTTGAACAGGACTGCTATCTGGCTCCTCTGCATTCTCTGTATCACCTGAAAACAAGATAGGTTTCTACGAGACTGACACAAGGCTGTTCTCTGGTGGAATACTCTGTTGTCACCTACGCAGATACACTCGCCGTGCTCAGGCAGACACTCATCACCCTGCCACTCTCCACGATGGCTTTCTGCCCACAAAAAGCAATGGGTCTGCAGCAGAGATATCCCTGCTTTATGGATAGAAAAGCGATGGTGGAGAAGGAAGGGGCACAGGTATCCATGGAAGTAATGAACACTCCCTTTGTATAAGGCAGCTTCCCAGTTTGGTTAAAGAGAACGCTTTCTGTTGTGCCAGTTAAGTCCTCTCCTTGGATAACACTGTTTTCTTTTGCAAAATCTACTACATCCACATCTATAGCTGCCTAGCTTCATCAGGCATTCTCTTTCTGCCTTTGCTCTCCTGGACTTACCACCACTTTTCTCTAGTCCCATTGCTTTCCTCTCCTGGTGTTTGTGAATTCCCAGGTGGTGCCTTTTACCTCATTCTTGCTGCACCTGTTCGCCCTTCTTCCCTCTTTCTCATCTGTGCCAAAACTATATGGCAAGGCAATGCTACTGACTTGCCACCACTTACTTTGCAATCCCTTCCCCCTTCTTCTTGAGACAGCCTTACAGTTAATGATACAGAGCTAAATTAAACTGCTAATACCAAACCAAGTAGACCAATGGGATCAGTGAGAATTGCACAAGTGCTGACTTGCCAAAGTCCCATTAATTTAATGGGTTTACTATAGCTGCGACTAATTGGACTTTATCCATAATTGCTGTTTTGTCATGTTCTTCTGAGTTAAAAGTCTTTTGTTTTCTGGGATTGTTCTGACTTGTCTCTACTGTTTCCCACATATCATATAAGGGCAACTCCCCTGGAAAGATTAAACCAACTGATTATTACCTACATTTGGCTCCTTTTGTACTTTGTTTAGCATGAGAGTAAAACAAGTTTCATTCAGACTGATGCAAAGCTATCCGTTGGTGGAACATGGCAAAGGCTGCACCGAAGAGGTTTCCCCACCACATGACGTGACCTAAATCCCCCAAACCATTTATGCGCCAGAAAAATTCAGTCACCAAACACAGAGAAATAGTATGCACACACAAAAATGCAGGTGTCCTGAGGAAGGACAACAGCAGGCATCTGGCCTAACCAAAAGGGAGTTAGCGGCACAACCTAGAAGTCAAGGCGTGGCATACAACAATTATAGAAATAATAGTTGGAGTCAATGCGACCCGAGACAAAGATAAGGTTCAGCATCTTCATCTTCTTTGTTGGCTCACTGACATCCAATGTTGGATAGAGACCTCACCTTTTTGTCTTGTTCAATTTCTGTTTTGTACTATTCTAATCCATGCTTGGGCAGATGGTTTAAAAAGATAAGCAGGACACCTAGTCTATGGTCCTCTTTTACTCCTTCTTCAAAGGTTGCCATTGGTGTATTTCTTTATTCAGCCACTCATCTACTTGTTTCATGCTATTGTCTCACCATCCCCATCTCAATTTTAATAATGTTCTTTTACATCTCTCTTTTAAACACGTATTTTTTCAAATAACCTAATTTTTGCATTATCTGCAAGTGTATTTAGTATCTGCCTTTGCTCTTTGAGTTTCTGCAAGCTATGTAATTGTTACAATATTTTATCATGACCAAATTCTATTAGTACTATTGCCCACTTTATCTTCTTCATAGATTGCACTGCCTCAGTCAATTTCTTTTTTGGTATGGTGGGGCAGGGGGAGGGAATGTACTCCTTTGTAATTGTGATAAAATGAGTAAGAAATAGATCTTCTTCCAGTCTGTGAAAAAAGCCACACTTCATTGTGATGGGTCAACACTAGAAAGCTATAGAAAAGGAAGTTCAACGTCTAAAAATCAAATATTGCATTTTTATACATCTTTAAGATTTATGGTGTCCCCCCCCTGCACCTTAAAAGGAGGAACAAACACACCAAAACTAATCAAGTGAAATGCCACTCCATGGATTTACCTTCCAGCCTTCTGCAGTTCACTCAGCTTTTTTTTGTCTTAGGAAAACACACTCCTACTACAATTTCATGTTAAAAAAACACTCACCTCCTTGAACGCCTCTCTGAACTCTCCCCCAGGAGCCATCCCAAGCTGTTCTGTGATATGCGCAGAGACCTTCAGCAGCAACATTTGCATCAGTCCGGACATAAGCCCATTCTAAAATAAGAGAGGAATGTTGAAGAGGAGACAACCTGCCCAGATTACTAGAAAAGATCTGGTACCATGAACAGCTATGGAGAAACATCAATTGTTCTGGCAAAAGAGGGAGGGAAAACCACCAACTCTGGATGCTGCCTCTGATTTATTGCTGAACATGTTTCTCATTATTTCAATGTGTATATACACAAGAATCGCTGAAAAGCCTTTTAGCCATCTGCTACTTTGTTTCCCTGAGAGAGAAAAGGCAAGAAAACAGTAGAAAATTAATCTGCCTGGCTTTGACATACTAATGTTTATTGAGCCTAACCCCCTCCTGCACTTCACCCTGACAGAGAACTATAAGAGCAATTCCTAACATATTTGGTACCGTATTTGCCGGTGTACAAGGCGACTGGGCGTATTAGATGACCCCCCAACATTTCCACTCAAAATATAGAGTTCATGGCCGGCGACGAGAAGGAAAGGAAAGGAAAGCGAGCGGGCGGTGGTGCAGGAGGAGGTGGAGGGGAAGGAGAAACAGCTCTCCGGTGGCGAGCCGGTGAGCTGGCTCAGTGGCATGGGGCGGCGGGCTCTGGCCGCTAAGACATGGCTGGCTCTGCTTCCCTCCCTCCCCCCATCCGGACCGACCGCCTGCCTGCCCGCCTGCCTTCTTCTCCGGCCAGCACGGCTCCGCGTCACTCACTCAACAGCGGCAGCAGCTCCTTCCTGGCCCAAATGAAGTGCACCCGGCATACAAGACGACCCCCCCTCCAATTTGGAGGTATGTTTTTTTGGGCCAAAAAAGTCATCTTGTACGCTGGCAAATACAGTAATTAAAATAGATCAAACACACTGCAGGCTTATTAACTAGCTGAATTAAAAACGGTTGGGGGAGGCGAATAGTAGAAAAGAAAATTAATCTGCCTGGCTTTGACATACTAATTTTTATTGTTCCTAACCCCCTCCTGTATTTCACCCTGACAGAGAACTATAAGAGTAATTCCTAACATATTTGGTAATTAAAATAGATCAAACACATTGCAGGCTTATTTACTAGCTGAATTAAAAATGGTTGGGGCGCACACAAAAGAATCAGAACATGATACATCGGCACATTAATCTGCCTGGCTTTGACATACTAATTTTTATTGTTCCTAACCCCCTCCTGTATTTCACCCTGACAGAGAACTATAAGAGTAATTCCTAACATATTTGGTAATTAAAATAGATCAAACACATTGCAGGCTTATTTACTAGCTGAATTAAAAATGGTTGGGGCGCACACAAAAGAATCAGAACATGATACATCGGCACAGTTTTAAAACACATTGCTTTTATATGCTTGAATGTGCACTTACGTACAGTGCCTCTGCAGAGGTGCAGGTCACCAGTGTGGAAATAACCAAATACATGTACGTAATAGTATGAACCGGCAGCAGCAATTTGTCCCCAACATTTCCTCAATGGTCATTCAAATAATGGCGGACAGAATTATTTTCAATAGATAGGCCGTAATTTTCCACAGCACTAAAAGTTAGCTGGCTTCCTTTGGGAAAGCGTCGGGCACGTTTTAAAAGCCCGTTTTAGGAAGTCTTGTGCAAGTGATCCGTTCAAGTCTCTGCAAGGGCAGCCTGGGCCTTTCCCAACAGCCCACCAAATGGGGAGGAAAGGAGAAAGAACACTGGGCAGCAGAAAGAGAAGAAGGGCCAGGATCGCTGACTTCCACTTGTAGTCCTCCTGCCACTGGTTTAAGGGCCATCTATCCCACACACAGGCCCCCAGCTGGAATAAGAACCCTGAAAGAAGAATGGCTGCTGATACCTAATCTGGGAATTTATTTATGCCAAGTGTGGATAAGATGATTCCATCGGAAAAATGATGTAACAAATAAAGGTAAAGGTAAAGGTTCCCCTTGACAATTTTTGTCCAATCGTGTTCGACTCTAGGGGGCGGTGCTCATCCCCGTTTCCAAGCCATAGAGCCAGCGTTTTTGTCCAAAGACAATCTTCCGTGGTCACATGGCCAGCGCGACTTAGACACGGAACGCTGTTACCTTCCCACCGAAGTGGTCCCTATTTATCTACTTGCATTTGTATGCTTTTGAACCGCTAGGTTGGCGGGAGCTGGGACAAGCGACGGGCGCTCACTCCGTCATGCGGATTCGATCTTACGACTGCTTGGTCTTCTGACCCTGCAGCACAGGCTTCTGCGGTTTACCCCACAGCGCCACCACGTCCCTTTGATGTAACAAATGGTGGCCTCTAAAATTTTCAGAACACCCTAATACTCAAAATATAGTTGACTACCTAAAATTATGTTAATATCCCTACACCTGGGTTGTGGATCCATCTACATTTAGAAACAAAAGCAGTGGGCAAAAAAGATACAAGAATGCGAAAGGGGAGATGCTGCCAATCACAGCTTCCCTTATTTTGAAAATATGGCTTTAACCTTTCAATGCTCCCATGAAAAACCTCTCTCTGTACAATGCTTCTGGCCTTTATTTCTGGCTCCTTTATACAGTATCCAACCAACTCTCTGTTTCTTGAATGGATGAAAGAAGAGTAATTTATGTTGCCATGTATCCATGGCATTGGTAATATTTTGTGCTACCTGAAGAACACAAGCATTGCTCGGGAGGATGGGAGCAGCAGCAGTCATAAACAGTTCTTAAGACAGACTTCAGTTTTTTCCATGTTGTTAGCACATTCTGCCTGCCCCCCACACGACTTCATATCAGTTGGCTTTTAATGGACTTCAAGGAACATTTCCACTTTAAGGTTGAAGTCACTACAGCTGTAAATATTTAAAACAACTGTCTGTTTTCAGTCTTGGCATTCCAGCAAGTACCTGTTCCTGTTAAACCTCTGAACCACTGGTGTAGCCACTGACCAGAAAAATAAGTACTGCATCTGAGGTAAAACAATTATTTCAAAATGTCACTGAAATGATTATACTATATCATGCTGACTGAATGTTTTAAAGGCAACATTGAGTCATCCTAGGTGAACTTGTGAACACAGTTCCTCATTTCCTCATACAGAGCAATACATGACACAAGATAGTAGAGAAGATACAAGAAGTTCAGCATTCTGTGTGCTGGCTTCATTTTAGTCTTTTCAATATATTTCAGAGAAAGATTTCAGTATGTCCCAATCTGCCCCCTAATCATCATGGTCGCGCAGGAAGTGGGACTGTGAACTTCTACATCATACTGGCTCTTCACACAGCACAAAAACTGAAACTGAGGCTTTGTTCTCCAGAGCAATCAGCAGAGGAGAATTAAAGAAGATGATCCCTAGTAAGCTGCTCCTCTCTTGCCTTCCTACTTCAAGAACTGGAACACCCGGATTATCATGGGATATTTCAGATGAAGAAAGTGACAGGTGGAAGGAAGAAGATTGTATATAGGAGGTGTCTTGTTGGTCCTACCACAACTAGACCTAGAGACTTGTGCAGTATCCTTAGATACAAACAGCAAACTGACAAATGAAGGCAGTTCATTCTCCCCAGGAAGCAGGTACTGTACTCCTGAACATCTATTAAATCACATGCAAAAGTGCTGGGTTAGCTATCCGTCTTAATATTTAGTTCACATGGGCATTTATAGCGGTCTTCTGTTACTAAGCAAGTTTCATGTACTTCTACTGTTTAATGACTCCCAACAGAATTGCACATGCGAAAAAAGGGCCTATGCAATTAACCTCTTTTGATGCACCGAAGCCTCAACTGCAACAAATTATAAAAGCTAAGGAAAACCTTATTTCAGCTTCTTTGCAATGAATTAACTTACACAAACACACACAAATGCAAAGAGATGGTTTTGCCACTGAGGAACTCATACCTGCTTTATAGCTTGCTGAAGTTTCTCCAGATTGATTTCTTTGGCTTCTTTCAGTAATGTTCTTTCATCCATTTTTAACATAGAAACTCTATATTGGCACAGCTCAACCACGACCACATCAGGCTGTACCTCTTGTATTGTCTGAAAGAAGACAGACTGAGTTGCACGCTTCCAGACAAGACTAAAAATCACTGAAGTCAGTATTGGATGTTTCTATGTGAATTCTCTTCAAGCACATGGCAGCCAACCCTAGTTTCACGTTTTCAAAAATAAATCTTTGGAAATATTTATATTCAAACAGAAGAGCACAGTGGGCCTCCCGTATAGTTACAGAAAGAAAGAAGAAAAATCCCAGAAATGAACTATAAATTATATTATGGCTTCTAAAGTTACAAATACTTGTATTTGGTACTAATACACAGACTTCCAGAGAAGCTTACAATTTTAGAACATTTCAATAAAATGAATGAAATAGGGTTTTGCTAATCAAAGTCATTCATAGGAGAGCTCTGAAATTCCTCATCCATTTCTATAAAATGCCACATATGCTTCTTGTCCCCAAAATTGCACATTTTCTCACCAGAAGCACCTGTACTTTTATCTACAGAAGCTTTTCAATGTGCCTCCCTTCCCCATGCTTTCACATCTATCACAAGTAATATCAGAGCATGATGACAAGCATGTCATGAGGATGAGTGAAGTATTGATGGGACCACATTGAATGCACTAGAAGGGATACATAAACTGGCTTTAGACAGAGACATTATAGGCTCAGCTTCTACTGCAACACAACACCTTTTTCGGAGCACTAAAAATATTCAAGATTTCACAGGGGACCTTTGGAACTCTCCAACAGAATAAAAATGCTCAGGACTTTAAAACGTACCTTCACAACATCTCTTTTGCTGCTGTCGCTGAAGTGGGCCGTGCCAACGACATAGACTTTGGACCCTTCTTCAGTGGCAAGTTCTGTCACAGTGCTTGGAAGGCTGGGCTTCTTCTGCCTCTTTTTCATCTTCATCTCCAACAGGATTTTCAAAGCATCCGCATCAGCTGAATGGATTTAAACAGATTTAGATTTGAGTTGTCTTCCATTTTCCACGATAGCCTCAATATCTAACGTGTCTGCAGTATGACTAAACTGAACCTTTACCTATGACTATTTTAAGGACAGAATAGAGGGGTTTGGGCTGGATGATGGCTGATGAAACCCCATGACTAGTTGTGACTTACTGTGCTAAAGTAAGTCACATTTAGAGTAGGCCCATTTGAATCAAGGGTACTTACAAGGAAGTTAACTCACCAAATCCCCAATTATTCATTGGGCCTTGTCTAATGTGATTCACTAGACTAACCAACAGGATTCTGACCACTGTGGTGTACACATTTGCTGCAAAAGACTAACAGTGACAACTCTAATCAACAAAATTTTGGCCAGTGTCTTGTACTTAGAAATATAATGTTAGCATTTGTTTTCTTGAATGATTTCTGTACAGGAGAACCTTGCATACAGACTGACTTCAGGTATTTATTTATTAAGCCATCTTTCCTTCAAGGAGTTATTTTATCTTTATAACCTGCTTGAATTGCCTCAAATTGGTGAGATCACTGTTCTGCCCCAAAATACCTAAGGTCTTTTACTTGGATCGTACACTGAACTATAAAAAACACTGCTAAATACAAAGGTCTCCACAAGAAACAGTATGGTTTGAAAGTTATTGGGAGCCAGTTGGAGAACACAGCCATGAACACTAAAAGCTAAAGCTATAGCCTTGGCCCTATTCTAACTTGCCAGGTATATTTCAGCCCAAACAAAACAGACAGACCTAGCACTCAGTAAAAGTCGTAGAATCATTACTGGATATCTAAAGCCAACACCTATTGATAAAATCAAGTTATTGATCAAAGACTTAAGAAGAAAAGCCCCATTTTATCATGATGTACTCATTCAAAATTGTACTCAAAACATGAGTAGCATTACTGGATATCTAAAGCCAACACCTATTGATAAAATCAACTACCTAACAGGCATTGCACCCAATGACATATGGAGAGAGCAGGAGCATATTGCCAAAAAAAGGCAAGTTAATGATCAAAGACTTAAGAAAAAAAGCCCCATTTTATCATGATGTACTCAAGTCAGAATTGTATCTACTTGTACTCAAAACATGAGTAGTTCTACTCTGTACAGACCTACTATCCAAACTGATGCCATCCACTCTATCATCTCAGGCTTTACCACCTCATTTTTTCTATATATATGGACTACACGTAACTTTCTTCCCCAAATCACATGTTATAATGAAAGCCATTAATAGCTCTGAGCCAGCACTTACAAAACAGTTCTACTGTTTACAACTATTAACATACAAATATTTGGTGCAATGTCTGGAGCTTCTTTTGGTCCGTCTCCATGGGCATCAGATGAAGATGCTGGTTCTGCAGCAGCCTGTGTTGAACACAAACAAATAGGAAGGGAGATTTTTCACATGCACACATTCTGTTTCCAACTAGTCTGCTTTTCAATACACACTTCTAAAGAAAAGCCCCAAGACATCTGCTTTATTGTATTTATTTATTTTATTTATATCCCGCCCATCTGGTATATTCTACCATTCTGGGCGGCTTCCAACAAAACACATATACATTAAATGAGACAAAAGCATTATGACATAATCAATAACAAAAACAGTGCAAAAATAACACCTGTTTGCAGGTGTTACTGCAATTCTTTTAGTTTGGAAACTGTGGCTGTGATCCCAGGATGTCAGTAACTGCAGCTAAACACGGGAAGACTTATTTATTTATTGAAAATATTTCTATGCCACCTTTCTCCTAAAGAATCAAACGTGGCTTATGGCATTAAAAGAAACAAAGTTAAAAGCTAATAATAAATTACTACAATATTAAAAAGTCAATAAATTGATACCGCATTATAGCATACCCAATGGTGTTGGTCCAACGTCTGCAGAGACGCATGTTCCTTATCCCTAGAAAAGGGTAGGAAATGTTTCTATGTCCCCTAAAACCTGTGCAATTTGGCAGCATGTTTAGAGAACTGGCAGAGAGGCTCTCCTTTCAGAATAGGTGTGCCCATCCCCTCACACTCATTTTAAAATAAAAACAGAAAGTTCTTTTGACATGGTCACATGTTCAGGCAGCATGGATATCCCCAGGGGCAAGTTTGGTCCCCTATTGAAGTCACTTATTCTAGTTAACTATTGGATTAGCCACTCCTGGCAGAAGGCAGGATGATGAGCCTCTCTGCCCGGTTGAAAAGTGGATAATCCATCACCAGCTCCGGAGCGATAGGAAGGGAGTGCGGAGCCCACGGCAGCGGAGAAATGGTGAGTGGTCGGTCTGGCCCCAGGGGGCTGGACCCCCATTATCTGCACCTGTGGGGAGATACTGTATTCATATTTCTATATGAATACCCCCATCTCTAGTTACTATATCAAGCCTACTGCCCACCAAACGTACCTCCTGCTGTTGCTCCTCCTTCATCCCTGGAATGCTCTTTTACCTTTTAACAACGAAGACCTGCAAAACAGGACAAAGATGACATTTGAGAAATCTAAGGGATGTATTTAAAAACACTGCCTTACAATAATTGTTGAGTGTACTGCAAGATTAAAAACACTGCCTTACAATAATTGTTGAGCGTACTGCAAGAAGCCACTGCTCAATAGGAGAAAAAGTTTTTTAAACCTAAGACCATGCAAATCGCACTACCTAAGAGGTTCAAAGATAGTAAAGAGCTGAGCTGTACCTGTTGCTGGATGGATTTATAGTGCTCACTGGTTCATGTAAAATGGTGAAGAGGATATGAAAAAATATATGGGGAAGTCTACAACGTTAAACTGTTCTGCCCAGAGGCAATCAGAAGGATAATAAACCTGGTCAAACATGCCTAAGCCCATTTTAAATGTCTTCCTCTTGTTCTGTTTCCTTCTGATGGAACCAGCTCCCTTCAAATGAGAAACAGAGAGTTTTGCAAAATTTTGTAAAAGCAAAATTCTTCTCAAAAGGCTCAAGGACGTTCAAGGCATTTCCTACAAACAGATTAGCACAGCATGAACAACAACAAAAACCATCATACATCCAGCGAAGTGACATCTACTCAACAAAAATTCATGAAAACAAACTTGTTAACTTTCAGGATTACAACCATACTATTTGTTGCTTTTGCTGTGGCAAACTAAGATAGCTATCGAGAACACATTAAGATCGCTATCGCCTGGGAAGTTATTACAAGAGTGAAACAGTTTCGGAAACAATACTAAGCAGATAGAAAAACTAATTTAAAACCAAATTATTCACCAGTTTTTGGGTGACCAAACAAAGCCACGGACAAAGGTAGGAACATACTCGGATTGCAGTGAGACTGCCTGCAAACTTACCTGTGTCAAACCAGAATTCCTGCTTTCCTCCCCGTACTATGCTACTTCCAACTCTTTCCTAACATCAGGGTCTTTTCCAGGGAGTCTTCTCTTCTCATGAGATGGCCAAAGTATTGGAACTTCAGTTTCAGGATCTGTCCTTCCAGTGAGCACTCGGGGTTGATTTCCTTTAGAATGGACCAGTTTGTTCCCCTTGCATTCCAGGGGACTCTCAAGAGCCTCCTCCAACATCACAATTCAAAAGCATCAGTTCTTCAGCAGTCAGCTTTCTTTATGGTCCAGCTCTCACTTCCATACATCACTACAGGAAAAATCATAGCTTTGACTATGCAGACTTTTGTTGGCAAGGTGATGTTTCTACTTGATGGCTTTGGCCCAACCACTTCATTAGCTCCGGAGCTACTTGTACATGTCCTCTGCTCTTCCTCAGTAGTATTTTGGACGCCTTCCGACCTGACATCTTCCAGCGTCATGTCTTTTAGCCTTTTGTTTCTGTTCATGGGGTATTCTTGGCAAAGATACTGGAGTAGCATTGCCAATTCCTACTCCAGGTGGATTGCATTTAGTCAGAACTCTCCATTATAATCTGTCTGTACTCAAATGTGCTTTACCATTCCTTTTTCTAAAGGGTATTTTAGAACTGTGCAGCTTGTCCAAGTTTACACAGGCTAGTACTGTAGTTCTATCAGGAGGCACAGTATCCCAACCTCTGGCTCCACAGCCACATACTCAATTGGCTGGGCTTTCTAGCCAGCTATAAAGTTGGAACAGGTATTCTAAAATTATGAAAGGACATTGTTTGTTTCATTATGTCATCCCATCATTGAGGATTCTTCTTTACTTTTTGTGACTTATTTGTCCTCCAATGTGGACTGAGATAAATTTATTTCAAGATTAGACATGGGGACGAATAAAAAACATGAATCACAGTATTTGAAAGAAATTGCTGATTCATCCAATAGTCATTGCTTCATATTCATCAATTCTGGAGACACTGATGAAGATGAAAGGCCAGGCCTTCCCTCTCTGCCTAGGTGCCCACTGATCAGCGGGTCCATAGGCAGAGAGGGAAGGCTAGGTTTGGTGGTTCATGGCAGTTTTGTTTATTGACTGAACAGATGTTCGGCACCTCCTCCATGAGGTGCCCACTCAGAGGCAATGCCTGGAAGAGGCAGGACAAGGAAGCCAGGCCACTGCTCTGAGTGGGTGCCCGCTGGAGGATGCAGGGCTCTGAAGCCCCAAACACCTGTTCAGCTGATAAATGAACTGACATGAACCACCAAACCAGTGGTTTGTGCCTATCTCTATTCTTGTCAATTAGGCCTGCATTAAAAAATTTCTCCCAAATGTTCACAACGGTTGATGTTTAATGCTACTTTTATACTTGCAGAGCAATGTTATTTTTGGCTATTCATCTAACTCTGGAAGAGCCATGTAATATTACTAGTTTTATTTGTATGCCACATTTCTCCCAATAAAGGGACTCAAGATGGCACACAGCATTGAAATTCACACAATTAAAAATACACTAAGTTAAATATTAAATAACAAATTAAACAATATATGATTTAAAATAAAATTAAAAGATTAAAACATGAAAACATGGAAAGTATTAAAATTATCTCCTAATATAGGGTTCAGGTGTCCTCCAGTGCCTGAGAGAAATTTCTTTCAAGATTACACATAGCTGTATGAAGTAAGCACAGTAGCTATAACCACTGGTGCCACCAATAAATCTAAGTACCTGCATATGTACTGTATATTATACAAGCTTGTTAGATGGTTTCAGATGTGGAATCCAAGAAAATGAAAGTACGGAGAACACTCTTATGGACTTCAGCCTTTCTGCACACCCATTGTTATGCAATATTGTGAACTCAGATATCTGAATCACATATGGCCAAGAATGGTCCAGACATGTATTAGTCCATACCCTTAATCTAGGCATCCAGAGAAACAAATGCTGACAAAGCTGAGCCTAACGCTCTTTCCTTACCCTACTTCATGTAGGGCAGAAAAAAGCTCCAGAATTCTCCAACACAAATTATGTTGAATTATGTTTCAACAACTGTTCCAGCACTAATATAGTTTATATTTTTCCAAGTGCAACAATTTTTTTTATTTTGACCCTTTTAAAAACTCTTGGAATACTGTCACAAGATTTCAGTGGAGATGCATATTTAATAACAACAAACAATCTTAGAACTACAGTACAGAGCTGGGAGGGACCCTATGGATCATGGTGTCCAGCCCCTGTCAAGGACACACAGTAGGGAACTGAACTCCCAACTTCTGGCTCCACAGCCAGAGACCTAAATCACTAAAGCTATCCTTAGAAGCATTTTCATACATTGTTTTTCTTCCCACTAGACCCCTTAAAGTGATCCATAATAAAATCTACACTATTTTACAGTCACAGCAGAAAAATAAGACATAACTTCTAAAACAGGCTACAAGTACTCCTCTGCAGAAGATAGCTATTTTAAGAGGAATACACAGCCATGCCAACTATGCATTTATTTAACGTGTGGTTACTATCATATTCTTAAGGCTTTGAGAACAATTAGATCCCAGAGCCACAAAGATACACTTCACAAATATTTATAACTAGACAGAAGTTGTAGATAGACACTACTGCCATAAATAGGGTTGCCAGACGTCCGGCAAAAGGAGGACATGTCCTACTTTTCAGGAGCATGTCCTCCGTCTGGCAGGCAAAACTAAAAAACTTCAAAACGTCCGGCTTTTGTGTCCTCCTTTTCGTACACATGTATCTGGCAACCCTAGCTATAAAGAGCTATCTGGACAAGGCGGTGGGTGATCTCTTTTAGCCTTTTGTTTCTGTTCATGGGGTATTCTTGGCAAAGATACTGGAGTGGCTTGCCATTCCTACTCCAGGTGGACTGTGTTTAGTTAGAACTCTCCACTATGATCTGTCCGTACAGAACTCAAATGTGGTTTACCATTCCTTTTTCTAAAGGGTATTTTAGAACTGTGCAGCTTGTCCAAGTTTACACAGGCTAGTACTGTAGTTCTATCAGGAGGCACAGTATCCCAACCTCTGGCTCTACAGCCACATACTCAATTGGCTGAGCTATCTAGCCAGCTATAAAGTTGGAACAGGTATTCTAAAATTATGAAAGGACATTGTTTGTTTCATTATGTCATCCCATCACTGAGGATTCTTCTTCACTTTTTGTGACTTTTTTGTCCTCCAATGCGGACTGAGATAAATTTATTTCAAGATTAGACAAATAAAAAAAAAGAATCACAATATTGGAAAGAAATTGCTGATTCATCCAATATTCATTGCTTCATATTCATCAATTCTGGAGACACTGATGAAGATGAAAGGCCAGGCCTTCCCTCTCTGCCTAGGTGCCCACTGATCAGTGGGTCCATAGGCAGAGAGGGAAGGCTAGGTTTGGTGGTTCATGGCAGTTTTGTTTATTGACTGAACAGATGTTTGGCACCTCCTCCATGAGGTGCCCACTCAGAGGCAATGCCTGGAAGAGGCAGGACAAGGAAGCCAGGCCACTGCTCTGAGTGGGTGCCCGCTGGAGGATGCAGGGCTTTGAAGCCCCAAACACCTGTTCAGGTGATAAATGAACTGACATGAACCACCAAACCAGTGGTTTGTGCCTATCTCTATTCTTGTCAATTAGGCCTGCATTAAAAAATTTCTCCCAAATGTTCACAACGGTTGATGTTTAATGCTACTTTTATACTTGCAGAGCAATGTTATTTTTGGCTATTCATCTAACTCTGGAATAGCCATATAATATTACTAGTTTTATTTGTATGCCACATTTCTCCCAATAAAGGGACTCAAGATGGCACACAGCACTGAAATTCACACAATTAAAAATACACTAAGTTAAATATTAAATAACAAATTAAACAATATATGATTTAAAATAAAATTAAAAGATTAAAACATGAAAACATGGAAAGTATTAAAATTATCTCCTAATATAGGGTTCAGGTGTCCTCCAGTGCCTGAGAGAAATTTCTTTCAAGATTACACATAGCTGTATGAAGTAAGCACAGTAGCTATAACCACTGGTGCCACCAATAAATCTAAGTACCTGCATATGTACTGTATATTATACAAGCTTGTTAGATGGTCTCAGATGTGGA